TACACAAGAAATATGGTTCAACAAAAAAACTACTTCTAAAACCGTTTTTACAAAACAAAAATATTGTCGTGGAAGGCCCCTGTGCAATCCCCACAGTTCCACTCACATTTTGGCCGCATATTTTAAAAATAAATTACATATTCGTTTCAACCACTGAAAGGCCCCCGGTGTCCAGACAACGTTTGACTTTCACAGGGACCCGCAGTGCGTTGCCGTGATTCTCCTTCGTTCCTTTCTTCCTTCTCCCATCGGCGGGCACACAATGCCGAGAGCGTTCGCAGCCGCCCAAGAAGCGGTTAGTTGTTTTTCCTCGTGTATTTTCAAATGAATTCAGTGGCCTGCGCGTCAGCCGGCACCGTGGCACACGTCCGCACCGCGAAAAACCAAGACGTAAAAAAGAGAGAGCCCCGCTCCCTCCCGTGGTGACCGCAGTGCAGGGGCGCAGTGAAGCATCTCCCGCCGCCAGGGAAACACGCAGGCTCAACGCCGTCGCCAAGAACGAACCGACAAAACAACAACCGGAAAACCAACGAAAATAACACATCCACAAATCAATAAACCAACAATATACTGAACCAATACACAAAAAAAAAAAATCAGTGACTGGTCTCCAGTCATTGCTACAAACAAACAATATAACAAACAAAAAAGGACGAAATAAAATAAATACATGAGGATTGCGCCGCGCTAGTGCTGAGGGGAGAGCGCAATTTGTGTGCCCAAGAAAAAAAAAAAACGTCTTGCGTAAATTAAAAAAAAAGCGGAAAATAAAACAAAATGCGTGTCTACATGAGACTTTATTTAGTTTAAAAAGTGAGTGGAGAAACGGAGATGCTCTCAGTAGAAGCACAAACTCCCCTCCACCGGGGTCCACTCAGCACAGGGCCGCAAAGCTCCATAGCCCCAATAGCAGCAGAAGTAGCCGAGACACACACCCATGCATCGTGCCGTCACCCCTTACGGAATCGGGCCTCACACGTGTAAGGTTGTCGAAAGCAACGGAGCTGTCACCAGAAAGAGAAATGCTGGGTGCGTCCTTCGCAAGAATCGCGCTGGTGTTTTCGGATCCACCGTCAGCCATGCTGACGTCGTCAGGTCCGTCAACCATGCTGCCATCGTCGGGCCCATCAGCTATGCTGCCATCGCTGAGCCCATCAGCTATGCTGCCGCCGTCGGGCCCATCAGCCATGCTGCCGTCGTCGGGTCCGTCAGCCAGGCGCACCTTTGGCGATGCCGAAGCTGGCGATGAGGAAGCTGGCGATGAGGAAGCTGACGATGAGGAAGCTGACGATGAGGAAGCTGACGATGAGGAAGCTGACGATGAGGAAGCTGACGATGAGGAAGCTGACGATGAGGAAGCTGACGATGAGGAAGCTGGCGATGAGGAAGCTGGCGATGAGGAAGCTGGCGATGCCGAAGCTGGCGATGCCGAAGCTGGCGATGCCGAAGCTGGCGATGCCGAAGCTGGCGATGCCGAAGCTGGCGATGACGAAGCTGGCGATGACGAGCTGGCGATGACGAAGC